TAATCAGAGATGTGTATTATGTACCAGAACTCAAAAACAACTTATCGAGTCTGGGACAACTTCAAGAGAAGGAGCTGACTATCATCACACGGAGGGGAGCCTTGAAGATCTACCATGATGAAAGAGGCCTGATAGCTGAAAGAAAGATGAGCGTAAATAGGATGTTCATGCTCGTTGATCAAGGTGACGAAGCTAAACCAAATCAGCATCGGTGCTTGCAGACTCCTTCAGAGGATATGGCGAAGCTCTTGGCATAAATGTTATGGCCACCTTAGTCACAGCGGCATGAAGACTCTGAAAAATAAGAAGATGGTACGTGGTCTGCCACGCTTTGAGTCTGAAAATTACAGTTGCACTGATTGTATTGTGGGAAAGCACCCAAGAAATTTGATCCCTAAAAAGAGCCTGTGGAGAGCTAAGGAGGTTCTTGAGTTACTACACTTAGACATATGTGGATCAATCAGTCCCACATCATCCAGGAGAAAAAGGTACCTTCTCTGTTTCATAGACGATTATAGCAGAAAGGCATGGGTATATCTCTTGAAAGATAAGTCATATGCTTTCAATCAGTTCAAGATATTTAAAAGAAAAGTGGAGATAGAGACAAGGAAGAACATCAAATGTTTGAGAACTGATCGGAGAGGGGAGTACACTTCTCACGAGTTCTCTGATTACTGCAAGGAACAAAGAATTAAGAGACAGCTGACCACTGCATACACACCACAGCAAAACGAGATTGCAGAGAGGAAGAACCGCACTGTTATGAATATGGTCAGGTCCATGCTCTCAACACGAAAGGTACCAAAGATCTTCTGGGCAGAAGCAGTAAACTGGACATTCTATATTTTGAATCGATGTCCTACTCTGGCAGTAAAGGATATCACTCTTCAAGAAGCTTGGAGTGGAGTGAAACCAAGTGTGGAACATTTTAGAGTTTGGGGAAGCATCGCTCATGCACATGTCTCAGATCAGAAGCGATGCAAACTAGACGACAAAAGCATCACGTGTATTATGCTGGGTTTCTCAGAGGAGTCTAAGGGATATCGGCTGTATGATCTGAAGACAAAGAAAGTCATTGCTAGTAGAGATGTGGTATTTGAAGAATCAAAAGGATGGAATTGGGATGGAGATTACGATCTCACAGATGTTGTGCTAACATGGAACGATGAGGACATGCCACGGGAAGAAGATGAAGTTGAGGAAAGTGATGTAGAAGAAGTGAGTAATGCATCATCAGAATCTGTAGAAGCCCCAGCAGAAGCTCAAACAGAGGAAGCTCAGACTAAGGAACCGGCAGAGGTCAGGGAGGGACGAATAAAATAAACTTCAAGCTATCTAAACGACTATGTGCATGGTCAAGCGTTAGGCGAAGAAGAAGATGAAGTAAACATAGTTGAAATAAATTCATCTGATCCATCGACTTTTGAAGAAGCAGAGAAAAGTCTGAAGTGGAGAGAGGCTATGGATGAAGAGATAAACTCAATTGAGAAGAACCAGACTTGGGTACTCTCAGATCTACCAAATGGAGAAAAATGCATTGGGGTAAAGTGGATCTACAAGACAAAAATCAATGAATATGGAAAAGTAAACAAGTATAAGGCCCGCTTGGTGGCAAATGGATACTCTCAGGAGCATGGAATCGATTACACTGAAATCTATGCACTAGTTGCTCGGATGGATACAATCAGGACTATTCTATCTACAGCAGCTCGGAAAGCTTGGGACATTTACCAGCTGGATGTCAAATCAGTGTTCCTCCATGGAGTTCTTGTATAAGATGCCTACATACAACAACCAAAGGGGTATGAAGTAGAAGGAAGAGAGGACAAAATCTACAAGCTCTCTAAGGCCTTATATGGCCTAAAACAAGCTCCAAGAGCATGGTTCAGCCGAATTGAAGAGTACTTCTCTAAGAAAAAATTCAAGAAGTGTTAGATCGAAGAAAATTTATTTCTTAAGACCAACAAGCAAGGTAGCACTCTGTTTGTCAGCGTCTATGTGGATGATTTGATATACACTGGAGATGGTGTATCCATGATGGATGATTTCAAAAGATCAATGCAAATGGAGTTTTACCTGACTGATCTTGGTAGAATGAGATAATTTCTGGGAATAGAGGTGATGCAAACGCCGCAGGATATTCACATTTCTCAGACCAAGTATGCTCTGGAGGTCTTGAAGCATTTTCGACATTTAAAGCTGCAACAGTGTTTACAATCCAATGGTGCCCGGAAGTAAGATTGGTGTGGATGAGGATAGAGAACGAGTTGATGAAACTTACTACAATAGGAGAATTGGAAGCCTCATGTACATTACAACAACAAGGCCGGACTTGCAGTTTACTGTAAGCTTACTGAGTCGATACATGTCTAGACCTACGAACTTACATCTGCAGGCAGCTAAAAGAGTCCTTAGATACATAAATAATACAATAGATTTTGGGATTTGGTATAAAAGAGGAGGAATTGGAGAGTTGCTAATATACACTGATAGTGATTTCGCAGGAGATGTTGACAGTAGGAAGAGCACTTCGGATTATGTGTTCATCATGGACAATGCAGCAGTGGCGTGATCATTAAAGAAACAACCGACAGTCACACTCCATGACGGAAGCAGAATATGTGGCTGCATCTACTTGTGCGTGTCAAGCAATATGGTTCAAAAGAATCTTGGAAGAGCTGAGATATAATGCAGAAGGAAGCACTACTATTTTATGCGACAACACGTCAACAATCAAACTCTCCAAGAACCTAGTTTTTTATGGAATATGTAAACACATAGGGGTACATTTTCATTTCCTGCGAGATTTGGTTAATGATGGGGTGATACATCTTGAGCACTGTGGGTGATATTTTCACCAAGGCATTGAAGTGTGAAGTATTTGAACGTTTGAGAGGCAAACTTGGAGTTTGTTCGGTTGCAGATAAGTTAAGCTGTGTTCACCAAACTTAGCTTAGGGAGGGTTTGTTGGAGTATTTAAATAAATGATCCGTTGAAGTTGAAGTAGTGTTAAGTCTTTGAATAAGTCTTTGATTAGTTTTCAGAAGATCGAGTATTATGGTCAAAGTTGTTGTTCTGATTATCAGCCTTAAGTTTCACATTTCAGTTGTTGTAAAGGCTATATAAAGCCGTGATCTATTGTTGAAGAAAGTACAAGTTTCAGAATCCAAACGCATAAGAGTATTTGATCTTTACACAAAATATCGTTGTTATCTATCTTCCTCAACTTTTCAACCAACCACACCAATGAAAAACTATCTTCAAGATCCCTTGACCACTTCCACTAAACCATGTCTAGTCAAAGAAGAACAACGACTTGACGAGGAAACAGTGAGTTTGTAAGCGGAGAGGATCTTGTACAGCGTGGCCTTCCCTATGGTTCTCAAATCCGCCTTGGAGCTTGGCGTCATCGACACGATCGCAGTTGTAGATGATGGTGTGTGGCTCTCGTCTTCTGAGATTGCACTTTGTCTCCCAACCAAACCCACCAACCCAGAGGCACCGGTTTTGTTGGACCGAATGCTGGTTTTGTTAGCCAGTCACTCGATCTTGAAGTACCGTATGGTTAAAACCGCAGGGAACGGTCAAACTGGGAAAACCGAGAGGGTGTATGCGCCTGAACCAGTTTGCATGTTTTTCTTGAACAGTGGAGATGGCTCGGGTTCTCTCGCATCTCTGTTCATGCTAGTTCTAAGCGAAGTCTATTTCAAGACTTGGTACGTACGTAATATTTCATTTTTCATAATCAAGACAAATAGGTAATAACAATAGGATAAATCAACCTTCCAATAGTAACGGTGAATGAACAATTGATTATTTTCTTTTTTTTTTACAGGACACATCTCAAAAATGTGATATTAGAAGGGAAAGATGCATTCACCTCTGCTCATGGCATGAAGATCTTTGAATACATTGGTTTAAACGAACCATTCGCTGAGTTATTGAACCGGGCAATGTCATAAGTTTCTACCTTGACCATGAAGAGAAAGTTTTAGAAACTTACAAAGGGTTCGAAGATGTAAACACTTTAGTTGATGTGGGAGGAGGAACCGGAACCATCATAGCTCTAGTGACTTCCAAGTATCCTCATATTAAAGGCATTAATTTTGATCTACCCTCGGTTTTAGCCAGTCCTCCTCTCTATCCAGGTATAACACTAATTGATAAAGCTTACAAATTGCATTTTCAAGTGCTAGTTTTGATAAAATATATAGCTCTTAATATTGCTATATATATATATATTTTTTTAATATTGCTATATTTGTTTTGCTTCATTTTGCTAAACATCGGTTATAAATAGGAGTGGAGCATGTTTCAGGAGATAAGTTTACAGAAATTCGAAAAGGAGATGCCATCTTCATGAAAGTAAGTTTATATATACACTTCATTTTATGAAAAGTTTTTAAGAAGTAGATAATTACATGGTAAAACATATATTAAACATGTAATCAAATGAATAACATGACAGTGGATACTACATGATTGGACCGATGAAGACTGTGTAAAGATTCTAAAAAATTGTCTGCAAAGTCTTTCCTAAGGAGGAAAAGTGATAATAGTCGACATGATTACACCCGAAAAACCAAAGATTAACGACTTTTCTTCGAACATTGTATTTGGCATGGACATGTTTATGTTAACACAATGTTCGGGTGGTAAGGAGAGGTCTTTTTCCCAGATCGAGACTCTAGCCTCAGATTCAGGTTTTCATCGTTGTGAAATCATATGTTATGCTTATTCATATTGTGTTATTGAACTCCACAAATAGATTAAAAAATTTACCAAAACATTCATCCTCGTTCATGTATTTGAATTCTTTACATGTACTTCTGGTTATTTAATGTGTAATATGGCCTAATTTTTTATGTGAAAATGTATTCGTCCTATATACATGAACAAATACGTATATTTTAGTAGCATTGACAAGCACATAGATTATACTTATAATCACAGATAAAGCCACATATAACAAATAACAAATAACAAATAACAAAGTATCATTTTGAAATCTTTAGAAAATAAAGTCTTTTAAAAGATAGATACACACATGACACATGACACATGATGACACATGACACATCCCACGGTGAAATGCTTCATTTCCACGGTTTTGGAACAAAGCATGCCATAAAAGCTGTATTTAGATATTACCCAACAACTAAAGAGACACAACGTAAAAAACTAAAATTATCTCTATCAACCTTTTTACATTGAAAAGCAAAACTACACTCTAGAGTCTAGATTGTATAAATTTTCTTCTTATGTTCTATATATATATTATTTAGGGCTAATCGGGAGTGTGTAGATAGATAGATATATACAAAACGATCATAACTTAAGACGGTCTACATGTGTTGTACACTTCTCCTCGCAATACATCGATTGGTCTATGTTCCAAAGTGTAACGCTCAGGCCCCATGTACACCCCTGTCTTCTCCAATAGTCCCATTGCTTCTTCTCTTCCGTATTTTGACTCGTACAGCTTCAAGTACTCATAATCCTGATTAATTACATACATAAGTGTCCCAATTGAATCACTTCTTTATTGTTTTGTTTGTCAGATAATCAGAATCAAAAACATCTTAAAAACTACTAAAATCAATGTACTTTTTGATTTTATATAAAACACAAATGAATCTCGAAAATTTGAAAATTAAAATTAAAAATTCTTAGAACTTTTGAGTATTATTTAAGTAAAGTTTTGTTTTCCCCTCTGATTCGGATCTGGGTACCCTAATGTTTGGAGTATCTGAATTACGGATATATGATATCCACGGACCGGGATCCAGATAGTTGCAGCATGGATCCGGATCCAGATAGTTGCAGCATAGATCCGGATCCGTTCCACCCTATGCTACTGGTTGGTAAATAAAAGCTTGAAGCAGATTCATACCTGTAAACCACTAAGGAGACGTTCTAGCCTAAGTGAAGCAACAGGCTCAGAGGAAGACGAGAAAACTTCACCAGGGTAATAAAGAACTCCATCACCAGGAGGAAGGCCACGCCTAAACCTTACCTATAAAGCATCACAAAGCAAATCAATCAAAGAAACATTTTACAAATGAACCGAATGATAATAATGGTTTCAGAAGAAACCTCAGCGCTTGGAACTGTGGCCTTCTCATAGCAGTTTGCACCCCAGTACAAGAACCCAGTCCCACCTTCTTTCCACACGCGCCACATCACGGCGCGTTGCTGTGTCCCACGCATCCCTAAGTGCCAATTTGGATGTGGATCTGATGGTCCAAGGCATATGTATGTCCACCATTCCTGTAACCAGCATGAGAGTTTCTCTTTTATGATTCTATATTGCTAATACATAAATTGCAACAAGAAGTGCTATGATGAGATTGAATCAAATTTAAACTCATCACAGAGTAGTGGGAACAGTTGTTTAACTTTAGACAATTGTATATACATATAAGGACCTTTCCAAAGCTTTCGATAACTAGTTAATTGTATTAACTTTGGTTATATTGAGCCAAACAATATTCTTGTAGTTGATGATGATTATAATTATTAATTTCTATTCAGTTAAGCAATTTTCAGGTGTATGGATCAAAACATTCAAGCTCATTGAGAGTAACATAGAAATGAAAAAGTTAGCAAGGATCAGCGAGAGCATACCTCACGATTATCTAACTGCAATTCCTCAACAATATCCTTCACCAAATCTTCTCGGTTTCCAAGCACCCACTCACTGAATATTAAATCATATTTTATAAATGAGTTACAAGATTAAGGAAAGAAGAGACTAGTTGAAGATATGTAACATATGCTTCTCTAAAAGTTCCTGAAAACTCATCTTATAATCCTTCCTCATTGATTCATATACTAACCAAAATTGTATTTGCTCCAAAATATATATAGAAACAGGAGGTGACTATGTGACTAAGTATTAGATGACTGACAAATTATTCTGAACTAATTAGATGTCTTATTCTGGACATTACAAACATAGCATACCTACCAGATATTGAAAATAAATATTTGGAAAGGTTAAGATCTTCATCTCCGATTAACCCACAAAACCCAAGTAAGAGAAGGCAATATATTTGAAGGATCAAATCAGTGCCACCCAAGAGAACTTGCATGAGAAATTACCTTGTGCAGTATATCTGAGTATGGGGTCGAAGGAGATTTGGAACTTTGACAAAAGATTCGAAAGGCGTTGGAGCAAGAGGTGCATCACCCGGTCCTACAGAAAGAGAGAGACTACTAGAGTAAACTTATTAATTAACTAAATCATATTGTTAAATTACGAACCTTATCCATTGCCATAATTTACCCCAGCAGATTTTAGTTCCATTCTCATCAACACGCAGAAATAAATTGATCAATGGTTACCAAGAATATTAGACAACCGCTGGACCAATGTGACAGTGGTTAAATATTATCCTTACCCAATGAACTAACATTATGAGCTGCATAATCACATAATGTGGTTTACTGATCAGAATGCTGATACAAATTACATTTATGGTTTTCACCATTGACCAATTTCGGAGCTTATTTCACCAGGAAGACAAAGCCATGAAAACCAATATAACAAACATGAAGCAAAATCGAGAAACAGAGAATAATTAGCAAAACGAGAATCATACCACAGTAGTATGTAGTCAAAACACGAGCATCTGGGGCATAGGCGTAAATTTCACTGGCCATCTTGCGAACGTTATGAAAGTGCTCCATATTAAGTGGCTGCCAAAAGTTTCAAATGAAAATAAGAAAGCTGTCTATACGTAAATATCAAGTAAAAGTTTTAAAAAGCGCAAGGCGCACTGAGGCACAACTCTATAACATTGCGCCTTGCTGCGCCTCAGGCGCAAGGCGCGCGCTTTTCAGATGCCTGAGAAGAATACTAAGGACAAGATTATTTTCTAGGAACCTAATCTATCTAACTATTTTCTTAAAGATCTTCATATATAATGAAGATCTTCCTTGCTAGTAGGATCTAGAATTCCTTTTCGCTCATAGTTGATCTCTTCCTCTCCATCATATCCATCCATTTCAATATCTATTGGATGAATCTCGAACCCAGATTTTCTTGGCGGATCTATCTTCTTCTTTGATGTTTTGAACATGTGATGGAATTGAAAGCAGCTAGAGAACTAGAGAGAAACGAAGAAGGAATAGAGAAGACAAGGTCGAGGAATAGGGTTTAAGATGAGAACATCTTAAAAGCTATCCTTTTCTGGCTTCACGCTTTAGGGAAAGCACACCGAGGCGCACATAGGCGCGCGCTTTTGGGACAGACATGCGCGTTGCGTTGCAGAGGCGCCAAGATGCTAAATGCGTGCGCCTTGCGCCTCAGGCGCAAAAAAGCGCGCTTTTTACAACACATCAATTACACCAAGGATGGATCATGAGATATCCATTGATAATCAGTGAGAAAATTGACTGAAGCACTAAGATACCTCATCCCACAAGTAAAAGTAAGCTTTATTCCAGTGGGGTTTACTCCTCAATATCTCAACTTCTTTCCGCAGGTAACTTTCCCTTGAATCATCCCTGCTTGCACATCAACAGACAGATGAAAGTTAGTTTGGGTATCTACGACACTTGACAAAAGCTTGACTGGGATAACACATGCATACCCTGATATTACTTGTCTATATGGTACTGCATAAGCTGCAAGCCTTGGATCAGAGAAATATTCATCAGACTTCGGATGATCAGCTGCAAAACCAAAAAGTGGATTGCAAGTGGAGAAGTTAGAGTATGAAGCAAAATGATCAGCTTGTGCAACAGAAAACATATATAGATGGTGCATAAACAATTCAAAAGAGGATTTACAATACCAGGCCATGGTGAGGTGTATGTCAAAACACGCATGCTTTCACCCCATCTGCAGAAGTATGGACTGATCCGATACTGAAGAAGCCACTTGAAATGGAGATTCAATTTTTCGAACCACTTTTCACTTCCATGTTCAACACCAAAACGATCCTCAATCACAGTATCAGAGACGCCAATAACGGCAGGGAGTGATGGAGTCACTGGAATAATAAATTCCCAAACTGTCAATCTTAGCTTTATACGAACTGCAAGATTTGACACAACATCTTCTTCCATCATATCAGTGGATCCATTCGTAGAAATGAACTCAGCAAATGATGGAGAGAAGAGAATTCTTCTTAATGATGAACTTGCACATGTTATTCTTTCTACCTAAAAGATAAGCTGCAGATTATTGACACATAAAATATTATCAAGGGTGAGGTCAATAAAATAAGAAGGAAAGTGAAAATACCACTTCATCCATGGGCTTTCCCTCTATTGGTTCCATAATATCTAGACAGTTCTTAAGTTCCATACATAGCTGATCCTTCTCATGCTTCTCCAAGTTAGCAGAACTACTATAACTATCACATAAAGGGTATCAACGTGTCAAATCCATGATAAACAAGATATCAATTTCACACAGGACAATGACATCAGGCAGAGCTGTGAGCATCCTAAAGTAGATAAAAGAAATGGTATGTAGAGAGAGACTCACCCTCCATCAGTTTTCATTGCAGAAACAATGATCTCTCCTTCATATTGACCAGGAGGCTGCCCATTAGGCACGTCTATTGAGACCCATATAACACTTGTTTCTCTACAATATGGAGCATCCGAGACTACGTCAGTCTAGAGAAATAAGACAGTCTACACGTAGGCACGTACCATATTCAGAAATTGCATTAGTGAGTGGTAGTACCCTGGAAGTAAGTTAAGTTGAGTAACAGGTATATCAAGGGGCACCAGAGCGTCAGGAATACCTAAGACAGGCACCACTCGCCGCAACTTTAGAGACTGGCCAACAACCAATCTGTCATGGTAAGGAAGAGAATAATCACAAGCAGATCAAAAGAGAGAACGCCGAAAAGAGGAGAACCCATCTAAAAAAAAGGAAGATATCCTTTAAATGTTCGCCTTCTAAAGTCTAATTGGTTTCCGCGCTCTCCAAAGAAGAGGATGAAAAATGACAAAGCAAGGTAAAAAAGCTCACCTATCTCCAGCCGAAGAACATAAGTCACTGCACTGAATCTGAACACTCCCTGACGGACTGGAAGCAGCCCAAGAAACTTTGGGACGCATGGCAATCTGAAAACTTTCTCTCTCGTTTCTAGCTGCCAAAAGATTTATCTGTATAAAACAATATGGAAGCCATATAAAACACATGCATCATTTCATGGTAAAACAAACGATAAAGAACAAGTGGACTTAATTCAAATACTCCAGTGATTAAAAGGTCTACTGTATCACCCCAACCTTTCAGACTAACGTAGAACCATTCCACTAAAATATCCGCAGCTTGCTTCTTAGCAGCTGCACTAACAACGCCTATTCAGACCAAATGTTTGGAAACATATAAACATATAACTTTTGATTTCTAAGATTTTTAGTAGAGCTTTCAGCTATTCAGCCAGCTATTCTGAGTTAAAATTTGTTGCTCTATAAGGAAACACCAAACAAAACACAAGTATAAACAATAATTGCAAGCATATAGTAGAGATAAAGCAAATCTTACAGTCTCCAGAGGTCGAGGTGTTTCTTGTGAACCGACATTAGCTGTGTTCGGCATACACCAGACGTTCACCAAATCAGCAGCTGGAACCTCTGTGGGATCCGTAGATTGTTTAAGAGGTTCTGAGTTAATACCACCGTCGTTAAATCCATAAGACGTCCCTCCACCAGCAACCCCTTCTACTGGCACATTCATATCTTGAGATCCTACGGAATCCTTAAAAAATGATTTAGATTTCCTTCAACAATCCACTAATTGAACTATAAAGAGCTAATTTCTGCAATCAATTTTCCAATTTCTTAGTATACACTTCCACTCTCCAAGACTACAAGAAACTTTTCGAAGAACAAGTTACTTAGACGAAGTTAACTCATAGAAGAAGATAACACAACGAGAATCTCAGTTTCCATTTCCTAAAAAAGTATAGTCTAGTTAGATCACAGTTAACTGGATCATCATATTCCTCGTTTGACAGAAAAAAAATCAGTTCGGAGTAACTACATAGAATGTTAAAATCAATTTCGCAGCTACGATAATGACGACGCAAGCTTAAATAAATCTTCATGCGTATTGTTCTCAAAGAATCAACATCGCTGATACTTTTTCCGGCCAATTTCCACGATTTCTCAACTCGCAGACGAGAATCCCATGAGAAAAAGAAAAAAAACGGAGCAGGAAGAGCAAACAATGGAGAATTGCGTTACAGAACTCGAGAAATGAACGGTAGGAAGGTGCGACTACGAAGGAGAATTGAAGCGTACCATTGTTGTTGTCCATTTATTCGCGCGAAAGAGAGAAGAAAAATCTGGAGAATCTTAATTCAGGGGAAGAGAATGGAGACGATCGCGTTTTTCGAGATTTCTGAATGGGACGCTTAACACGTAGTAACTCCACGCTTTTGTTTAGTAGGGAAAACCTTTTTGCGACAATATTCTTTCGGGGTCAATTTGCAAAAGTGATTAAAACAAAAAATCGTTATAAAGTAATTTTGGCTGCGAGACATACTGAAATTGCAGAATTGCAGAATTGCAGAAAATATTGAAAAAATTATGGAATATATGTTTGTGACATGAACACATAAACGGAATGACGAAATAACATAACTCTAATATAATTAGAAAATTAATTTTTAAATATTTAACTAAAATACTGCAAAAGCCACAAATATAATTTTATCACTATATAATATTTTTAGTATAAAAGTATTTAATTGTATTTATTTAAATAATAAAATATATTAGTTATATAATTAAATAATATAAAATATTAATTTCGCAAATAATCTATTTGAAACAAACGTTTTTATTTATTATATATTTCTTTGTATTTTTTAAATAAAAATGCGATTCTGCAAATCTTTCCTTTGTACTTTTTGATAAATTTTTTGATTGGTAGAATACTTGCCGCATTTTAAACGCGATTCCAATATTCAGTGTTACCAATTCGATCATTTACTATGGATAAAAGTGATAATATAAACTTTTTCAATTGTATTAAATTATACATTATGCATTTGTGCAGGATAAATATTTTTACTATAATTTATAATTTTTTAATATAAAATAAATATTATAATTAATTTTTTACCAACAAAATGTGTAACAAAAAATAAAGTCGGTGAAGTCAGATATAACTTTAATATAATTTCAATGTTTATTACTTTTTGTGCAGACAAGATGTTTTTATTGAAATCAAGGTTTGAGATATATTGATAGTTGTTCGGGAGTAAATTTCGAGATGTCATGTAGAGGTGTATGATTCGTTTGGAGAGTGGAGTTGTACCTCCGAGTTCTGTCCTCTGGGGAAAAGCGACGAGATGTTCTAGGACGGAAGCTGATTCGGGTCGCATCAGTGGGATAACCTCCGAAGGTTTTCTAACGTCCAAGTAAATGAATGCCTACCGGGAACGAGTGCTCAAGAGGGTGTTTCTCTACAGGTTTGGGGTGAGAAGTCTCGTCCGGAGATCGAGACGTCTATCTGTTTGCAAGTATTTCGAGGGGATTCTATATTGAAAGGAGAAGATTTAACGACTATAAAGGCAAGGTTCCAAGTTAAGAAGGAACTTATACTGGTAGACATCACCTCGAGGGAACAAGGGAGTTCCCTCTCGATTACGCCGGTCGGCGGTAAGTCAGTCTGAGGTGGTTTGGCCTCTCCTCCTTAGGTTGGGTTCCCAGAGTATGATCCGGATCCACTTAGGTCGTGTTCCTAGGGTCTGATCCATTCTTTTTTTTTCCTCCCTCCTCGTGTAGGGATATTTCCTCATCGACTTTCTACTCTCATCGACGATCGCCATGGCGAGCTCTCTCATCCTCGCGTCTAACGTGAGGCCAGATATCCAGGTAACGATTCAGACTTCCTTGCTTCGTTGGTTTTTGCGGGTATTGCTTACTGATTCGCACTTGGCAGGTAGCCCACGCCGGCTTAAGATCTCTACACTCCAGGGGTCGCTTGCCCAACGCGAGGCTTACTCGAAGCGCCAGGAGGACGCCCACACAAACGTCGTGCCGGAGGCATCACACCGATTCTCCCGCTGGGGAGACCTCGCGCCAGTGGCACCGCCTCGAGTCGCTGCTGGAGGTGTGGCGAGAGCCAGCCCGTCTTTGGCCCGCACAGGGCCGCTCTTCTCGACCTCCACAAACTCTGATTCTTCTGCCGTTCGTGAGGTGGATTCCCCCGAGTATCTGAGGACTTGGGAAAGATCTAGGGCTAGGCGGGCCGCGACTCCTGTCTCTTCTGCTGTGGGCTCGCCCAAGGCGATGAGCGTCTCTTCTGAGTCAGAGCCTATATTCGTGCCCTGGCGTCTGACTGCTCCGTCGACCCGCCAGCTTACCGGATGGCAGATGATCGCCTATAAACTCACACGCGCGCTGGACACGGTAAGCGCTCTCTCGAGACTTCTTCCTGCTTACTTCCTGGTGGCCGCTGATATATCATGGTTTGTATGGTTTTTAACCATGATATAAGTCCTTTTTATTGAGTCTTTTTGGTCTTTTTAGAGTCCTAGAAGAGTCTTTGCAAGTTATAGCATGTCTGGAGCATAATTGGAGATATTGGAGCCTTTTGAAGCATTGAAAGTTGAAGCCACGAAGTATCCAACTCGGGAAGAAAAGTATGCATATGGGTGACGCTCGTCACCCAGAAAGGAAGGGGTCGTGGCTATTTTCTAAAAGATAGAGGATTATTTGCAGTTTGGCCCAGAAGTTCAAGTATTTGCAAAAAGACCCCATATCGTGTTTTAGCTTGTATATTAGTTTTTTCAGCCATTCTTTTGGCAGATATCTTGTATCTTATTATTCTTTTTGAGAGATTTAGAGAGAGATTTGTAGCAGAGCTTTTGAAGAGACAAATCAGACTCCTCCAGAGCAGATTTTGAACTCCTTTACTTTCTACTTCTTATTTCTTTTATGCAATCTATTCTTTTCATGATGTTTTCTCAAATCAACATGTCTGAGTAGTTTGTTAGTTAAGTTAGGGCTTTTCCAAGGGTTGATGAAGAGTTTGTAGAATTGCTACCTGTTAGGAATATCTTTTGGTTTTTCATCTCTGCTTGCTTTAAAATCGAATTTCTTAGACACATCATCTAGAAATCCGAAAATCATAGGTTGTTAAATATATGTGAGAGCATTATTGATAACCTGAACTAGTATTTGATGAGCAAATCAACTTAGTGCAAAGAGATTTGGCTTAGGAGTTTTGTAAACAATTGAATCTGATCATTACTGCATGTTTAGATTTTTAGGGTTTGCAAAGAGATTTGAAACTCTGTGATTTAGGCATAGATAAATTTTGCAATGAGAATTGATTAGTTATATATTAGTGATTCATGTTTAAAACGGTTCTTAATCATTTCTGATTTTCTGCATTCTACATTCTTGGATTCAACATGCGAACTGTCCTGACTTAGCGCTTTTAGTCTTCTGAAACTTAGATCATCTACCAAAAATTGTTTGCTTACTTTTATTTAATCATTCGCATTACATACATTATATCATGCTTAGCATAATCCGAATCTACATTCGATAGTGTAGTCTACATTACTCCCTTGGGATTCGATACCCCTTGTACTACAACTGCTTTTGCTGTGCACTTGCAGTAGTTTTATTTGGATAAAACCTGACCCTATCAAGTTTTGGCGCCGTTGCCGGGGAGTAATAGCTGCCTATCGATTTCTAATATTAGGATTTTGTCTAAGTTTTAATTTGTTTACTGACTTTCAGTTTCTTTTCTTTGTGCTGGTTTCAGGTGTATGCCTAATCGCAGAACCATAAGCAACAAGGAGAAGGAGCTTGTGACTTTGAGCATCGACGAACTAGCTAGGTTGGAGAGAACTAACAGGAAAGCTAAGAAGCAATCTACAATGGTCGCTCCACTTATCTTGGTTGAAGATGTAGAAGGTCACTTGGTTGACAGGGAAGGAAACAGGAGGAACGAAGAGGGGCAGAGGATTGATCAAGAGGGGAATGTCATTGTTGAACAGCAGGTTCAACAAGTGAATGAGAACGTGGGAGTCCCTGCTGCTGCCAATAATGCTGCTGGGCATTTTGTTCAGAGGACTCTAGGTGACTACAACAGACCTGATCAGTTCTATGCCAACAGAGCTGCAATCCGGCCTCTTGCTTTCCAGAGGAACGATTTTGAGGTTAAACCTGTCTACTATCAGCTGGTTGGCCAGCATCCATTTCATGGCTTACCTCATGAGCATCCTATAGATCACATTGAGAGGTTTGAGGACCTGACTTCAAGTGTCAAAGCTAATGGTGTTAGCAATGACTTTCTGTTCTGCAAGCTTTTCCCCTACTCTCTTGAAGGAGAAGCTGCATATTGGCTGAAGCAACTGGAGCCTGCTTCATTGACCACTTGGGAAGATACTAAGAATGCTTTTCTAAACAACTTCTATGATGATGCCAGATCAGAAGACATGAGGACGAAAATTGCATCATTTACACAAGGTCCTACTGAAGCTTTTAAGGCTTCTTGGATCAGATTCAAGTCTTATCAAAGGGACTGTCCTCATCATGGTTTCAATCAGGTGCAGCTGCTTGGTATCTTCTTCAGAGGCATTGACTGGAAATATCAGATGGCGCTGGATGCTTCAAGTAGTGGAAACTTCAACACCAACAGACCAGAAGAAGCTGTAAGATTGATTGAAAAATTGGCCTGCAGTAACAGCACTAAGAATGCAGATTTTCAGAGAAAGCAGCAGGCTGGTTTGAATGATGGAAACCAAATAGCTGAAGTTAAGGCTAAATTGGACAGCATGCACAGCCTTTTGGTGGGAAAGAAGTCAGTCCAATTCGCTGCAGAAGTGGAGAGTTTCGAAAATCCCGAAGACATTGAGCAGAAAGATGTTAACTTCATCAATGGAGATTTTCAGAACCAAAGGTTTGGGAATCAACAGTGGAACAGAGGATTTAATGGCAACAATCAGAAGAACACATTCCCAGGAAACCAGAATGCTTTTGGTTATACTCCAATACCACAGTTCCAGAAGACTGAAGTTGAGAAACCTTACCAAAACAGCAGGAATTATGGTTCTTCTTCCTACCAAACTGCACCTCCACAAGACACTAAGATGGAAGCTATGCTGGAGCAGATACTTGAAGGACAGCAGAAGATGACAGTGAACTTCAATGGCAAATTAGATTCGCTGTACCAAGACCTGAATGGAAAATTTGAGAGTCTGAACTCTCACATGAAGAAGCTTGATTTTGCAGGTTGCTCAAACTGCAGGAGCTGTTCAAAGGCAAGAGTCGACGAGTCGTGGAATTCATCTCGTCTTTCCCGCCCTACCTTTTCACCCTCCCTGGTCCCTCCGCCAATTGAGACGAGTACTCAAAACAGGATCTTGCTATGTCGTCGTCTGATTCGACTCGTCGACCGAGCACACTTCGCTGTTTCGCTTGTGGAGAACAAGGTCATCGCCAATCTTCTTAC